GCGTGGCTTACTTTGGCCGCATCGGTCGAAAACAGTCACTCGCGCAAATATCTGCTAAATTTTACGATATTATCAAGCCGGCAATATCTTTTAACGATCGTTTCTTTCGATTAGTCGTAAATTTGCAATGTCAAGTTGCCAATGTTATGTCGCGTTCCCTCTATTTCAACGAATACGTACTTTAGAACGTACTTTCTTCCGTATCGAGTTTATTTAAGGGGATAAACAAATCGTTTCGTTCGCTCGATAAACAAAGATTCTAGTAGCTAAAATTGCTACTTCTTGAACCATTCGTACTCGTAATCTCGAGGACGAGCCGAATAAAGTATAATACGTGGCACGATCGAACCAACTTATCTTTAACCGGTGTTTCGTTAATTCGGTCGTAATCGCACGAAGAGTCTCGTTCGAACAAACTTTACCAATTACCGAATATTACCAATTTTGGCACAACCCGAAGTTACGAAGCGAAAGCTGGGCCAAAATGCCCGCGAAAGAAAAGGGAACGAATCTTGTTTCTTCGTTGGTTTATTAACTGCGAGACGTTGCGAGACTTCCGACGGAGAGAAAGCGAGAAAGGAACGTGCTACGCTCGTGATCCAGGCTCTTCGCACGATTACGAACGTGGCTTACGAGTCGGTTCGTTCGATCGCTCGATTGTTATTTCGAGAGAATAAGTTTTTCCTTCGTCTTTATGGGAAACCGAAGAACGGTTGTTCGGGCAAGATGAAACATCGATGATCGAACATTTCAGAAACCAAACCGAACGATTTTATCATTTTGTGCGTAAAAGGCGTTGGTCTTCGTCGTATAACGTATACAATGCCGCGTTTCGTGTACCCCGCGTATAAATTATATCAAGGTAATTGCAAATAGTAATCGTAAATTTTGACGTAAATATTTTTCTTCCGCTACTTTTCGACGCATGGAGTTCGATCGGAAAAAAATGGAGCGAGGCTCGCAAACTACTTTGTTGATTAACACGCGTCAAAGTTCGGCTAGAAACAACGATACGTTACCTATAAGGATCCTTAAGCTCCTCGGTTACGTAATTCAGATAATTCCATCCGGAATAAGAGAACAGGCCTGAATAAACGGCTAGAGCAACGTAGCCAGGCTGGGTATTGGTTCCTTCCATGGGATGGCGAAAATTTTCCGTGTGACCCATGCAGAGCCACCAAAATCCAGCAACCATGATGATCACCAGGGCGAAAATCTTCGTTCCGGTGAAGATATCCTGCACTCTGGTCGCCCATTTCACGTTGTAACAGTTGATGGCTGTTAACAAGCCTGCAACCATATCGATCGGATAATATCGTTTATTTGGAATTGAAAGGAGAAATACGATTTTTCCCGTTTGTTTGTTTACGTTTATCGACCATTCGTCGGTCTTTCGGTCTTTATTTTCGTACTACGATACAAATTCGCAAGTACGTGCGCGAGACTGCAGCAACGATCACGAGGCGATGTTTCTAGTTTCGGATTACAGCGATAAAATATAAAGCTCGACGCGAAGCGTAATTACGTTGTTATTTGTTACGCAAACCCGTGGATTTGAAAGGCTAATTCGAAACCAGTCCGTATCGTAAATGGTAATCGTTTTTAATACGCAGCTGTGCACACGGGGCTGTAATACGAAGGATCAGCCTTCGTTAACACATTACATATGTATAAACAGAAGATAAGAGTCAGGTCGAGTTAGCTTCGTAAATTCGGCGAACGATACCGACGCGTGTCGTATGCACGCTACGGATGCACGCGGAAATCGCTGTAGCGGTTCCACCGATAGTTACTCGCAAATATCTCGGCAACTAAGGTCGAGCTGTGGTAACGCGCAAAAGTAAAAGTCGCTCGAAATCTAAGCTACCGTCGGCTTTCTAAATAACAACATATATATTTCTTGAACGTTTATCGTTCGAAACATACGCGTTAATATCGTTAGAAATCGTTCATCCACGTTTCTAAACGTTACGATCGTTCTAAAAACCCGTTGGCCAACTTTTCGTCAAATCGACGAGCGATTTTCTTCTTCCTCTTTTCCTCTCACCGATTACTTTCTCCTAGCAATTTCTAGAAAATTTATTATACGTACTCGAAACGAGACGAAACAAAAGCGCGACATTTTCGAAAACTCGGTATTAAGAATTTTCGACGACACGCGGTAGATCTCGCGGCATACGCGTTAGCGAATAAAGGTCGCCGACGAGTATGTATAAGTAATTAATGCCCGCAACATTGATATTCGTGAAAACGAAATCACATACACACAGGCGAACGTTAGCGCGAAGCGCGTTAGAACTGCTACTCGAAAGTACGCGAATATTTCAAGTTATCTCATTGCACGCTTCTGCTTCGAGATAAACTTTTATCGTCCTTGTAATAACGATTTCTATACGAATTTGCTGCTAACGGACAGCGAATAAGCGAACATTTATCTGCGAATTATGAAAAGATATTCCGTCGGATAAAAGTTTGATGTATATCGTTAGACCGCGGATGTTCGCGCAAACGTGTATCTTTCCGACGTGCATAGAATGCGAACGGACAAACGAAACTTGGATAGATTAGATTTATTAAGCGATCAGAGACAGAGACAGAGACAGAGAGGTTACGAAAATGCGTTTTTTATTTCGCAGATTTCGCATAATGCACGTGTTGCATATCTATGTTTAAGAACATGTGCAAAAAACGTATTGCGTATCGTTTACGCTTATATATCGTGTCGTATATTTATCCTAATCGTTTAAAACGCTAATAACAATAATATATAATCAATGTCAAGTACAGGCTACATCGAGTTGTTCCGAATTAGAGCGGCAATCGATTAAATTAATCTTAATTTCCGTTTATCTGACAATTACCATACACGTAGGGATAATCGCCAAACTATCGTTAAGTATCTATTACCAAATTATTCTATCGTGGATAATACTTCGTACGTATCGTAAATCGATATCAAACATACAGATATTTTACGTATTTTATGTGCATGAATATTCGTAATCTGCAACCGCGTCGTTATTTATCGAACTTGAAGAGAGCGTCGCTACATTTTCCTAAGCTATTATTTCGGCACTCGATTTCTCTACCATCTTTCGCCTCTATGTACCTTAAATATGGATCGTCGATCGCATTGTACCAAAGCGAAAACACCGTGAAAAGCAAGTGGACGCTGAAAATCGTTCACCTTATAAACGTTAAACGTTACAAAGAACGTTATATCGATGTTCTTGGTATCTTGACGCGTGATATTTGTGATTACTAGTAACGTTGTTACTCGCAACATGCGTAAAAACTAGAGAACGTCGCCGTCGTCGTCGTCGTCGATTATTAGTTTCGTCTAGGATCCGGTCGTTTCTTTTCGCGCTACGTTACGTCTCGATCTCGGAGAGCGAGAAACCTTGGGTTACGATACATCGTATGCACAGGATACAGTAACGCGTACATTTACCATCACGATCGTATATCGCGCATCGTCTTCGAGCTGCCGTTGGAACAAGTATAATTATAGGCGAGATAGGCGAGAACACGGAGCGATTTGTTCGTCGCCGTGGAACTTTAAATTTGACGTCGCAATAAGGAGATCGCTGTTCTCTATACGATAAAGAGGAACGAGCCTCGCGTTCTCTTATAAATAACTACGGGTAGTTACGATTCGAATTTTTCTTCTTCTTTGGTTTAAAGTAGCGTTCGACCGTCAAAGTCGACCGTCAGAGAATTGAAAAACGATCTTTTAACACGCTGTCGAAAGTACGATCCCGAACAACTTTCTTCTTATACGCGATACGTGGTCGATGGCACAATGAACGATACAGTTGGCGGAGACGTCGGCGCAGATGCGAAATTTCTAAACGTTATCGTTCGATAACGACCTTCTTCTCGAAAGATGGACGAACGAACGCCGTTTGGTTTTTGTAAAAATTCGCCAAATTCGTTCGACGGTGGCAACTTGGCCCAAGCGTACGCGCGCGTCGGTGTTACGTACGGTAGCGAAACGACCCTATCTACAAACCTATCTTATCTAAACTTATCTCTGATTTATAGCATATATAAAGGAGAGTCGCGCCAATTTGGCTATTCCGCGCGATCTTTCGGACGATAGAGCCCCGTGCGCGTACCTGTACACGCGACGCTGTAAGAAATCTGAGAATCCGTTATTAGCCGAGTTTCTTCGATTCGGCTGTCGCGAGGCGACGGGCAACGTTCGCCTAAAATAACGACAAATCGTCGAACGACGAACGTACGTAGTTGCGAACGAGACTATCGTAGAAGCTGTTTATTCGCATCCGTGTAATACGACGCAAAGATAAAGAGATCGATCGGGGTTGACGGACAAGAAAACAGGTCGCCGAGCAACGAACGCGCGGCGGTTACGCTTCTGTCATCACACGGACGCGTAAGCATCGATGTACCGGTACCGGCAGTTTTTTTGCCAATATTAGGATCGAAATTACGACCGGCCTACGGCTACACGCGTAGAAACAATTTATTTGGAATCGCGCGGCCGATAAAGTTCGAGAGTTTAGCGAACTCGCGATCCGAAGAGGTCGATGTCGTAATTTCAAGGGTGTTCTTACATGTGATAACGGCAGCGAGTAGTCGCACGGCCGCGTACGGAGGAACGCAACCGTGCCAAACTGGTTGCAAGATGTATTGTGCGAACGTTAGGGCTGTGATCGCGTTTCCAGTTGGGACCAGCACGAACAATGCCACGTAGAGGTAGAGGAACGCCGGTAGGGGTCCAAAAGCGTCGTTGATGTAAGCGTAGTCGCCTCCGGACTTCGGGATCATGGTACCTGCATTGAAAAAATATTCAAGTATTTTTATTTCGACCGAGCAACGTTGTCGATACGAGGCTGGTAAGAAAGAAGACGATCGTCCATCGTTTTTATCGAGATCGTTCGCCGTGACATTGGTAAAAAAGACGCTACCGCGAATTTCGCGCTAGCGTCGTTTGCCAGCTCCGCCTTACCTTAACGCGCAACACCGCCATTCCTACCACCTGGTTCAAACGCCGACTTTCTTCCCAAAGATCGGTACGCTCGATATCTCGAAAGCTAATCGACATCGATCCTACCCTACGAAAGGTCAACGAATTCGTCTTCGGAAGCGCCATCGAACGATATTATCAAACACCGGTTGCAAGCCGCAGAGATCTCGTGCGCTTATACCGTATTGTATTTATCTATGCACGCTACGACTCTGATAACTTTGATAACGCGCGTGCACGGCGTCGCGGCTGGCAAGCGACTAGAATACGCGTAACGCGTAAAAATACGATATATCGGGTACTTCGAATGGAATACGGGTTGCAATTTTGGTAAATGACGTTCACCTCGACACACGACCTCGGACATAAGCTTCGCGTTCCAACGAAAGATTTCGGTGTTTACCGGCGAGGTTCGAGTACTATGGAGTTCGATCGTACTGTAATTGAGACGAATCGCGTCAAATCGAGACTAACAACGTGCAAAGCGTTCGAGCGATCGCAAACAGATAATCGCGTTTAACGCGTCGAAACTCGTGGGCGATCGAACGAGTCGCAAGTACCTATCGCGTTATTCGCGAGATACGTAGAGACGTTCGCCGCTCCTTACGTTCCAAGATTTAAACGCGATAGAGAATGTCGGTGAGACGGTTTAGATCCGAAACTTTGAAACTACGTCCTATTAATACCGGTTTAACTATCCACGTGTCGCTTGCAGCAACGTAAAACAAAATCTCTCTTTGCACGACTAGATGTACGGTAATTGGATCGAGTTTTTTATCGATGCCGATTTTGTTTAAACGTTCCAAACACTCTCAACGAGCGCAATATCCAACGTCATCGAAATAAATCTTCGTTCAAATAAATAATCGGTCGAATAAAATTTCTCTTATTTTAGTCGATATAGATAGGAGGATTTGAAAATACGCAAACTTTCGTCCGTGGTACGCGGAATTTCTACTCGAAAATTCTCACGCGTAAATCTAAGTAGCACGTTCCATCGCGTAATTTTTATTTCGATTTTGGCGTCCTTGATCTTCGTCTCGCTGGATCGAAAAGACGGACCATCGAGGCAAAAAGATTACCGACGACGGTCGACCGACCCTTTCGATCGAACGTATCGAATCCGACCAATTATAGGTGGATGAATATCGTTTTCGAAGAAAGCTGTAAACATTGATCTTAAGCTGAAAATTTGATCGAAAATTCGGCCGTTTCGTCTGCAGCGACGCGATAACACGCTGTATCTACGATAGGAAGAAGAGTTTCGAAGAGACTCGATGAAATCGGCTGAATCGCTCGCATCGGTAATTCGATTAAGTATCGTTGACCCTTTTCTCGGAGTCACGGATCGGGTTACGTTGGTCGCGTGCCACGACCACATTTTAATTACATCGTTTAAGGACAAGAAACGAATCACGCGTTCTCCAACGCGAAGAAAACTCTGCCCCTCTCTCGCGTTATACTTTGGATATTATTCTATATCTTTACACACCGTATCCATTCCGCGCAATTTTATCTAAAAGATGGATTTTACGATTCGGTAGGTTGTCGGATTTTACATCCATCGTGTGTCTATCTTTTCGTTTGATTTTGCGATAAAAAATGTGTGTCGCTGTATCGATATAATACACGCGATACTATAACGGTAACGCGAACGATTATCGATAGAAAAGTCTGGCGTATTTTTGGATAATTTTATCAAAATCGATCCGCTTTTTATAGATGCGGTCGCATCCGCGCGCAGATAAATAAAATGTTGGTTAATCCTTCGTATTCGAGTACGACGTTCGTCCGATCGAACGTTAACGTATTGCCAGAACCATTCGTTGCCAAGGAAACGTCGTACATTTTCGACGCGAGATCGCGACAATATTCGAACGTTTTCGCAGTATCTACGAACGTAACGCGACCACCGTGCCACATTATTTTCGGATAAATCTTTCGCTATGTTCGTTTCGATTATACGCGTATTTGCACGTATTCTGCTATAGCGAATACTCCTTTTGCGAACGTTTGTACGCGTCTCGTGGACGCGGGCTGCGAACAGAGTGGCCCAACTTACGGCAGGGCACAGAGGCTCCGAACGAAGGCAAACGACGAATCGTCTTCTCGACTCGGCAAGACGAAATTATCACTAGCGATAAGACCAAGTTCGATACGTACTGGTAAATCCGAATCCAACTCCAAGGCTCGTCTCGCCGAGTTTCGATACTACTCGTTAAACGGAGGAGCTTGTTACAAATTTACCAAGAAGGTCGTTCGAATTTTAATCTTTCGTCGATAAAGTTACTTTTCGTATCGTAAATGTTACTTTTGATCGTTGCTTCCCCTTTGATTCGTATACGCGTACGTATGTATATGTATGTACGATTAGTAGCGGTATAGTTCGTTTCCGTGACATTTTGTATCATTCGAACAACGTAGAAATATCGTGGTCCAAGAATTTTCATCGCTTCAACGATAGGACGTTGTCCTTTTGTCATTTAAATACAATAAATCTCCGTTTCAGCGGTACCGAAATATCGTCATTTCAAAATTCTTTTCGTCTTATCTACTTATCTACTTTGTAAAAAGACGTTACTCTTAGTTACGCGTCAACGCTGGAAGCATCGACGAAAAATTAAAAAGTAAAATGTAAAATGTAAAACGATCGATGCTACACGGAATTGTAAAGTATTTACCGACGAATCTCTAGCTTCTTGGAAATTCGTCTAGATTTGAAAAAAATAATTCGTACGATCTGTTAACCTTTGCTTGCGAGTCGTTGAGAGTATCGTTTTCCGACCATCGTGCAACACGTGTAGTCGAGCGTCGTTACCAGTTTCCAAGCGTCCTATCAATTGCGGTCGTTCTAATTGTGTTTTTAGTTCGTCTGCACTCCGAAGCGTCTCAACGCACAGTGTATTAGATGAATAGAAACGTCTATTTCTAAGTTAAGAAAACGGAAAAGAAAGGAAAGTAGGACTCGCTACCTTATCGCGGAGCTGGTAAATCGTAAATTTAAATTACTTGTTAAAACACGCGAGAGAAACGCGTGTTTTGCCATTTAAAAATTACTGTATTCGGATATCGCCGTATACGAGTTGTCGAAAAGTCGCATCGACCGACTTGGTAAATTGGAACGTTTACGTTGAAAGTTACCTCGACGGTTGACGGTCGCGTCCGATAGCACAGAGATACGTACAAAGAGCGAGAGCGAGATAGCGCGCGAGCATAGTCGTACACGTTACCTCACCGTGTAGGCAGACGCGCCGTGGAAATAAAAAGAAAACGTCGCACGCGGGCGTCTTCTGCTTCTATCCTTGTCTAATCAGGCGTATACATCGCCGCTGTTCGTTGATCGGTGTTTCGTACGCTCGCGTATTTATCGTAGGATCGTACGCGCGTTATTAGACAAAGACCCAAGAGGTATCTATGCAGCGCTCGCTTTCTATCCCTACGTCGCTTTTTCGACTCGCTCGCGCACTCTGTCTTCGCGTTTCTATGCTCGATAGCTGCACCTCCGCGTCGTCCTTGTCACGTTCTTGGCACGCGAGTGCTTTATCGACGTCTACCGACTTTTGTCGCCCGACTACGTGCATTGTACACCGCGGACAATCAGTTTACTTTTTAAGATGTCGCAAAAAGAAAACGCCGGTACGGTGAAAGCTAATCGGAGCTTAAGCGATCGTGGTCTACGCTCGTACAAAAATAGCTTTCTTAATCGCGTTTGTCCGCCTCGTTCGGCGTGTACAAGACCGATAAAAGCGAGTTTCTTCAAAACGGATTTTTTCAAACGAAACCTTTCCGCTTACTCGCATCTGTCTGTCAACGTTTACGAAACATCGCGAATCCTCGAAAGGCTTTTCTCTGGTAATCATTTTGGCCGAAGGAACCGTTGGAACGTTTACCGTCGAGTACCTCTACGGGTATTTCTTTCAACGAGGGCCACATTATTACTCTACACCTTTGTTAGACCCGTTGACCGCGACTACGTTCGGCGACTGATCGTCGCCTCGCGCCCAAGCTCGTTGTCACAAATCTCAAATAAATACAATTGGGTAGAATGACGGCAAATTGTTTGCAGCTGTAGACTTTAATTACAATTTTATGGATTTTCCCAAAGTTCCAGAGGGAAGACTCCGGTGTCTTTTCATCTCCGACGTATGTGTGTGCGTGTGTTATGAGTGTGTTATAACTGCAGGCACATGGACGAGTTCCAACGAGCTGATCACACAGTCGTTTCGATTCGACGGAAACGCCAATTTCGATTTTCAAACCGTAAAACTGTTTTATAACGATGAGATGCTCGAATCATCGAATCTGACGAAAAATTTACGGAAGACGGCGAGACCGAACGAGACTAGAGAGGGAAGGATTCGCGGAGGATTCGAGGAGAACGAGGATGTAGAAGGCGATAGAACACCTGGCTGAGGGCTGCAGACGCCGGAGTGCGAGGACGAGCATGGAGGTGTTTCTGGACGACGCAGGAACTGGCCTAGAGCAAATGAAAAGAATTTCGAGGAACAAGGAGGAAAGAAGGGTAGGCGCAGAAGCGAAGGGCCGACGAGAGGAGGAAGGAGGACACCGGCAGAGGTTCGGGGGACAGGAGGAGGGAACGGCACCAAAGAGAGGGGTAATAACAGCAGGATAAAGTAGGTTTAGCCGTAATTAGAAAGAAAAACAGCTACCACAATCTTATCTGGAGTAAACAAGAATTATGTACGTACGAAATATTAATGTAATGCATATTCGTTATAAAAATATTGTTCTTTTTGTTTGACATTACCATGCGTTTATTCGAGCAACGCAAGAACATTCGCATCTTCTTCCGTAAAATAAGAATACGATTGATTTAGAAAATAAAACGATTATTTCAGTTTTTCATCAAATGTACTGCGTGTATAATTCAAGTATATACGCGTGATAATCAGGGGAGAGCCGTGCAATACCGATCAAAGTTAGTTCTGGCTCCTTTCTTCCACAAAGATTAGCTCCTTTATTCGAATAAACGAACGACAGATTTCTACAGCCGATATTTTCTTTCTCACGTAAGCAAATGAATGTTTTCTATTAACTACGTTATATCTAGCCTATTAAGCGTAATTAGTCCCAATGGTAACGATCATGATTAACAATAAATCAACGACGAAAGTAAAAAATTGATCGTAAACGAATAAAAATTTCGTTTCTTAAATCGATTTATTTTTAAATTATGCTTATAAAGTAAAGAACAAATTGATAAGCAAAAAGAGTCTCATCGCGTCTGGACCGTTAGTTGCTGAGATAACGCTCAGTTTGTATGCGCAGGATCAATTCTTTGTGCGGTAAATGACGCTACTCTCCGGTCGAGACAGCGCGCCCCAACCGCGCTCGGGCCACTAGCTCGCCGGCATACTTCGACTTTATTAATCTATTATTGGCTCGTTTCTTGTTCAATTTATACAGAAAACGACACAAACAAACACATTTAAAATCGTAGCAATCGAATTATGGCTAATAACGAAAATAATTTAGAGTTCTATTTGCTGTAAATCGAGCCAATCAAGTACCCTTTTCGAATCGATCGGCTTATATGAAAAATAAAAATAACATAAGAACGAAAATAATTTGATCGCTTCGTGCTTAAATTTTTAAATCGATTTGAAATCTTAAAAATAGACCGCAAGTGTCTTAGAGCAACTGTTACTTTCTAAGCCAATTGACTGGGGCAAAAGGTGATGCAAGAGTCGAAAGGTCTGTCAGTAGACGTGTATACTGTCGCGAATAATAAAATCGAAACGTGTAGTAATTAATAAAAAGATGATACGCTATTTCTTTCGTACAATATTCTGAAACAATAGCTACATCTCTATTATATGTTATTTTTCCGTCAAATTGCATATAAATACAATGCATTTTACATTTAATATTTATGTCACATTCTATGTTACGCTGATGTATATAACGTATAAAATACTAATAATACTATATTACCACGATATATACGTGGTCTATTTTAATATTTTAAATTCCTCTTCTAAAAAAGCATATGCATATGTACCTTCGTTAAAAAAGATAAGAAACGAAAATTAACCATACGTGTACCTTTTTTCACCATGTCACCGCTGATTAGCCGTGATTTACGAATAACCCTACATAGATCATACAAACGCAACGTGGACGATCGCGTTAGAATTTTAAATTAAATGTAGCAAATATTTCTCGTCGGTAACATCTGGACTGATACATATTTAGTACTCACCGAGTTCCGCGTAACATAGTGCACCGATCAGAGACAAAACACCGGAAAAGATCCAAACTATCAAAGCCTGCCCAACGCTGCCGCTATTTTCCAGCACACCCTTCGGCGATACGAAGATTCCGGCGCCAACGATAATGCCGACGATAATCGCCACACCGTCCAGCAAACCGAGTTCTTTTTTCAATTTCACCGCATCGTTTTCATGGTTGATGACTTTCGTGATCGCCAAAACTTGCTTCTCCATTGGCGCGACTTTGTCCGGCATCGTGTGCACCGCTTTCAAAATTACTGTTCGCGAGATACTCGTCCGTCGATAGCCGAAAAATTACTGAACGGTGCGAGCATACCGAGAGACGGCACACGCCTGATGCACGTGTGAAAACGACAAAGAAGAGCGAAGAAATATACGTGCACAGAGCAAAGACACCGGCTCTCTCTCGCCGCGTGGCGTCGTTCACTCAACGGACACACGTGCGCGACTGCAGTCCTTTCTACGGTAGCAACGCTGTCGCCGCCCGCC